TGCAGAAGGAGGGCACATGCCTGTGCCCCACTGGGATCTGGTCCCTCGCCAGGGGGGCCCGTCCAAGCTGACCCTTTTGTAGGCTCCTTTCCCAATGCCCATTTCACGAGACTTTGTTTTCTTTCTTGGTGTTAAAAAACCGTCCTTTTGATCTTTGCTATTGCCGCAGTTTCAGTGGCTGCTCTGCTTTCCAGTAAGCCTCTAAACTGTGAAAAACGATGCTTTGCTTTGGATGGGGAGATAAAGCCTCCAAAGTCCAAAGCAGTGAACCCCTGAACCCCAGGGGGCCCAGACGATGGGGGCAAGGCACAGGGGGGCCCTGTGGCCTCCTTGGGGCTGTTAGATTTGCCACCCTGGGGAACAGGACTCAGAAAGAGGCGGACTTTGGGTCAGGTCTCTGTGGCTTTTCTTGCAAGGTAGCCGAGCCATTCTGCTGCCGCAAAATCAACAAAGGAACTTGCGGGGCTAAAAGGCTAAACTTTTTATTGTGGCAGATACGCATTTTGCCACAAAGGCGCTTTTGTGTGCTCTCAACTTGCCAAGAGGTTTTATTTACTCTTTGCTTCTTTATTTATCACATTCCGGTAAGCAACTGTAAGTGGTAAGCGATTCCATGGAAAGGGTAGAAGTCATCTAAACACAGGTGAACGTATGCATGGACGTGGGGCAGCGGGGGCATGAGTGAGAGTAATCCCAGACCAATTTAGGCAAAGAAAAGACTACAACTTCCCGCAAGGTGCCGCCGGCTCTGGGAGCTGTGCACCCCCTTTTCTCTGTCAAAATACGCATAAGATTGGACCATTTCTGGCAGAGTTGAGGGTGCCCCAAATGTCTTTTTCCAGTGTTAAACTAGGCCAGCTTTCTCCAATTCCGCACCCTCCAAATGGATCAGAGTACCATGACCATCATCCCCTGACCGTGCTCGATTCCTGCATTTGCTGCTTTCGAACGGGCGTGACTGAGTAAGGTGATCTGGCAAAGATGGTGCTTCCGGCTGTGGTGCGGCTGCACGCCTGCAGAGAGTGCCAGGCTGGGGAAGGCTGACTGCCTGGGCCCCCTTTAAAGGCCCTGCGGCCTGGGGCCAGAATGACACAACACGCGGCAGCCGATGCCTCCCCTGGCCACGCAGAGCCCGGGAGCGGCGCTCGGGCCAGCAATTACCTTGCGTCACCCAGACTTACACTGACTTGGGCAGCACAAGGGCGTGGGCCTGAGGCCACTAATAGCCTCTGTCTCCTTTCCCCACACTGCGCGTGATTTCATTTAAAACCCGAAACACCTGCGCTTCTCCCCCAGGAAGCTTCCCACCCCAGTCGCAGAGAATGGCCAGCGGGGTTGCTGGCTCCCTCGGCAGGACTGCACCGCCCTCGGGTTCGAAGGGTGCTTTGGGGGGCGTTGTGAGGACTAGCTGCTTCTGCAGCCATTTTTAGGAACCATCCCCAACAGTCAAGTCGAAAAGGTGTGGCTCGTCCACGTGGCCCTGGAAGCGGACTTGGCGCGCTGAGAAATCCTCGGCCGTGGCCTTCTTGCCCTTTGGCCCTGTCTTCTGGCTGCAGAGCACCCCCGATGCCAAGGAGCGGCGGCCGGGAAGGGCGGCTACTCAGCCACCTGGGGACAGTCCCCAAAGCTCTCTGCGTGGGTCTCAGGGCAGGTTGCTGGTTCAGACATGCACTGCAATCCTGTGGCTACTGGGAAGGAACCGACGTGTTGCAACAACCATTCGTTTGGGTAGCCCGTCTCACCTTATTTCCGCCCCCTTTCTGGACCCATTCGATCCTGTCTGAATTTGCGGGAGCAGAGCTCTGCACAAGACCCCCCTCCAGGCGCTGTGCAAAGCCGGGGGGAAGCTGTGCTGACCGTGCACAGCACAATGCCGTTGCCATTGCCGTTGCGGGTGTTAACGTCATTGCTACGCCGCCTGCGGCCGAAGCACTCTGGGCAGTTCACATCATCTACGTCACCCTTCCAGGCTTTCACCAGGCTCCACTCGGCTTCCACGATCAGGCACTTCGGAGCGACCACACTCGAAACGCGGCATGAGGCTGTGGCCACCACATTTCAGAAGGAGCGCCGGACACTGGGAGAGGTGGCAGAGAAAGACCGGCAGGGTGGCCAAGGGCTGGCACAATTCCCCAAAGAGGACGGTCGCTATTCTCTGGGCTCTTTAGTTTATAAAACAGGTGAGCAAAGGGAAGAACATTCATACGGCTTGTTCAGAACAGGTTGCGTGGACCAGGGCCCTCCTTGCTACAGCCGTCCTGTTCACAGGCTGTGCTGGCTGCTGCAGACGGGTCTGAAACGGGTCTGAAGGATGGAGGGTCTGAAGGATGGAGAAGTTTCACTGCTCTTGTTATGCCAGAACCCAGAGGGGCCTTTCCATGAAGCTGAATGGGGCAAGAGTTGGGGCAGGCAGAAGAAGAGAGACACTGGGTCCCTCAGGGGCAGTGGTGAGCTGCACCTTGAGGGATCTTTGGATGGCCTCACAAGGGGACTGGAGAACTGTAGGTGGAAGCAGGCTCCTGGTGTCCACGAGGATCCTCCGCTGCAGAGGACACCGGTGTCTGAAGATCACATGCCAGGAAACATGAGTAGGAGGGAGCTGCTGTGCCCTGGCCCAGCTGGTGGGTTGGCCCTGGGTTCCTCGGGGAAGAGCTGGGCTTGGATGCTTCACACCAAGGCCTTCAGTCCCACCTGTGCCAGGTCAGGTCTGGCCGTGCTGGTGCTGGTCCCCTCTGAGAGCTGCACTGCAGAGGCTGGACTGGGGACCAGAAGGCAGAATGAAGATCCCGGGCAACCTCGGTAACTTGCATCCTGGGCTGAAAGCACCAGAATGAGATTTGGTAGGGACAAGTGCCAAGTCCTCCAGCGAGGAAAGAGAAAATTTATTATGTGCCATTGTATTTCATCGTATTTTATCGTGTTGTAAGCCACCCCGAGGTTTCGGCAAGGGGCGACATAGAAATGTTAATAATAATAATAATAATAATAATAATAATAATAATAATAATTGGTGCACGATGGGAAATGCGTGGCTCAGCAGAAATGAAAAAGAAAAAGACCTTGGCATGATTGTGGACGGACTAAATATGAGCCAATAATGGTATTACTTCCAAAGCACAAGAAGTAGTAGTTCCCCTATACTCCTCACTAGTCGGTCCTCACCTGGAATATTGTGTCCAGTTCTGGGCACCAAGATTGAAGAAAGATGCAGGTAAATTAGAAAGGGTCCAGAGGAGGGCAACAAAAATGATCCAGGGTTGGAAACTCTGCCCTGTGAGGGGAGACTGAGGGAACTGGCCATGTTCAGCCTTGGAAATCGAAGACTGAGGGGGGACATGGTCTCCCCCTATGAGTCCCTAAAGGCTGCCACAAAGAGGAAGGTCAAGATCGCATCTTGCTACTGCCAGAGTGTAGGACACAGAATAATCTGCTCAAGTTGTGACAGTCCAGATTCAGGCTTGAGATCAGGAAAGGTTCCCTCTCCGTCAGAGCAATCTGACCATGAGACCAGCTTGCTGGAGAAGTCATGGGTTCTCTCACTCAGGAGACGTTCAGGGCAAAACTGGATGTCATCTGAGTGGGAGGGTACCCGTCACTTGGAGTCCTGCAACAGGAGGGGGATGGACCCGATGGCCTTAACGGCCCTTCCAGCTCTACTCTTCTGTGATTCTATGATTCCTAAGCCCCATTTGCCTTTCCAGTGATGACGAATTGCTGTGAGGTGTCTTCTGTGAGAGGCAGTTTCTTGGGAGGAGTGACTCTCCAGATTGCGGAGCGAGAGCAGTGGGGCAATGCCGGGCTTTCCTTTCGAGGGCTCTTTGTGTTCCTTAGCAAATGCGTCAGCTGACTGTGAAACCAGCTGCTGGGCATGTCTGGGAAGGGCATGGCGGGTTTTTCTTAATAAGCACCACTGCCATTCACCCCCCCCCCACCTCCCCACAGCACCCGCATTTCCAAAAGCCTCTGTTAAACCAAGGCAAAACATCTTAGTTTCTGGAGGGATCGCAAGCATCTTATTAAAGCAATGCCATCAAATGCTGTTCAGTTTTTGCTCTAAAGGATTTTTGAACCAAGATCCCCCTTGGAACAGGGTGGGCTGTTCTAGAAGTTAAGGAAGCAGGCGTTCGCCTTTTAACAAATACAAATGAACTGGAGCTAAACTGTGCACTTTGCAAAACAGAAATATGTTATTGCCCACCCACTGCAATTAATGTGTGAATTCATCCAGGGAGGGGCTCTGAACCTCGTACAAGCACTTCTGATGCACACACACCTGGCCGATGCACGTTCAGGAGATACGGGCAGAAATAGTCAGGATGGCCCTTTGCGGATGGAAAGGTCCAGCAGGAGACAGGTGTGCAGAGACCAGGACGGTGCTTGGATGGGCGACCCAGCAGCATCCTTTGCTGGTCCTCTCAGCGAATCCCGTTTTCAGATGCTCCCGTTCTGACGTTTGATGGAGGAACGGTGTTCGCGCACAGACCTGTGAAGGGGCACTGTGGCTCCCAGCACTGAGCGTTACGTTTTAGACTGGGCACCACGAAGGGCAGCGATGCGTCCGCCTGCAGAGCCAGACGGGACAGCGGCAGGGCTCGCCTGCAGGGAGCCTGCCGTCGCGGGTGCGGGGCAGAGAGGGGCGCCAGCTGCCCGGGGGGGAGAAGGACTGCGGGGCCGGGGAGGCCCGGCCGGCGGGAGGGGCCCGGGCGGGCCGCGGGCGGAAGCGTGTTCGCCCACGATCTGGCCGGCCGGCCGGCCGGCGAGGGGGCTGCGCACGAGCGAGGTGGGCAGCGTGGGGGCGCGCGGCGGGGCAGCGGCTCCGGCGCGCCTCCTGCCCCCGCGGCTGCCCCTTCCGCTGCCCCGCCGGGCGCCGCCGGGGGAGGAGGCGGGGAGGCGCAGCCGGGCGGGGCGGGGCGGGGCGGGGGATTGGCCCGGCGCGCCCCATAAAGGCTGCCCGATGGCCGGGAGCCGGCAGTTGCGAGAGGCGAGTCGCGGCGGAGAGCATGGGCTGGCTGCGCCTGCCAGCCTTCCTGCAGTGCGGGGACAAGCAGGTGAGGCGGCCCGGGGGGCGGCGGGCGCCGCAGGAGCTCAGCCCGTCCCCTGCGCCTGGCCGGGGATGTGGGTGCTCGCACCGGAGGCGCAGTGTTTGCGCCCCCGGGCGACGATGGGCCAGGCGGTGCCCGAAAGGGCCCCTCCCAGGAAAGGGGGTCCCCCAGGTGGAAACCTCAGGGGCCCCCTCTTCTTGCCGCTGCCTGCTACGCGGACGCAGAAGGCAACTGGCCTGCGGTTGCGAGCTCCTGGCGACGGAGGCCTGCGTCGCCTCTGCCGGTTTCCTTCTCCACGGATCTTTGCTGCTCCTTGCCCAGTGCAGGCCCCTGCCCCAAGTAGCTTACACGTGGCACAGGGGAGGTAGCCAGGAAAGAGGTGCGAGCTGCAGCAAGTGGGCGTCCTTTCTCCCTGCTCTTGTAGGAAGGGAAAGGTGGCAGAGCCTCATCAACCTACTGGCCTCCAGATGTTTCGGACTCCAATCCCATCAGTCCCAACCTGTAGGCAGGAATGCTGGGAGCTGTAGTCCACAACATCTGGAAGAAACCACGTTGGAGAAAGCTGGGTGATGAGGCCCACAGACCCCTGAGCCAGGAGCCCCAGCTAATGAGGCAAAAGCAGGGGGCTTCCGCGAGGCCTGCCCGCACTGCCCCGTCCGAGGAATGCCACCCCTGGAAAGGTTCGCCCGGCACGTTTGGCACCAGAGAGGGGCTGTTCCTTCGCAGTGCAGTTTAAAAATGGCCTCTGGGCTTTTGGGACCGCACTCTCACCCTGGTCTTTGCGTGGGAGTCCAGCCTGGTAATGGGGCTGCTCTTTTCTGCCCACATTCCCTTGGTTTTACTCTGCCCTGTTTTTATTTCGTTTTAAAGTGTGTCTTTATGTTTGTAATGTATTGTACATCACCAAGAGAACATTGGGCATCGAGTGATTGAAAAACACGGCGAATACAATGAAAGTAGGAAATAACTTGCGAGTTTAGCCGAGGTACTCATAGGAAGGGCTGGCTGTGTTTGTGTTACTCAGGAGCCGGAGTTACGTACTCTGGGTAGTAATAATCCCAACACATGTGATGGAAACAAACATTGTACGGCTTCCCTCAGACAGTCCTCCAATAATTACTGTTGTGTTCGTCAAACCAGCCCTAACCTGGGAGGAGGTGAAACTTTGTACTCCCTTAATTAGGTTCCTGCTCCAGATCGGCAGATGATCTCCTTTGGTTGCTGCAGATTCCTTTCTGGTGACTAAGGGTGCCGCTCTGTGCATGTCGCTGGGCTCCTCTTATGTTTTGTGGGATGCCATTGCCACGGGGGGCTTTTGAGCAGCTCCTGACTCTCTGCCTCACCCACCTCGCAGGGCTCTTGGGAGGATAGAAGGCAGAGAAGGTACATGAGATGCACCTTGTGCACCTTGCAGAAGTAGGGAAAAGGTGAGGCAGAAATGATGGCGCAAAGGACTGAAAATAGGGCATGGACTTTATTCAGCCAGCCACGAGATGGACACCAAGCATGCAGGCTGTCCCGATCTGCAGACCTCTTGCTCAGGAAAGGTGTCATTAAAAGCAGGTTGGGTGGGAAGAAGGCGCTGAGGGGGAATGAGCAGACCATGCGGCTCCTCCATCCGGTGTTTTCCCCTCCGGAGTCCTCCTGGCTGAGAGCTCTGGAGCCCTCAGAAGGTGGCCTGGGCGCCGGCGGATGAGCCTGTTGCGCCAATGTGACTACGAGATTGTGCAAGGAGGGTGCACTCCTTCTCGGGCACACAAGTTTGGGAAGAAAAAAGGCCTGTCACTCCCAGCATGGCCCACTTCTTCTTCCGCCTAAGCGTGCACAGAATGGTACTGTAACGCGGCCAGCGATGCGCCGGGCGAAGAGCGTGTGACTGGCCCAAAGTCGGCACATGGACTACAGGGCTGAGCGAGGACAGAACCCACAAGTCCCGAGTCCTGGCCCAAGTCGCTGAGCGCGTCGCCACTTTGGGTCGCTACCGAATGTCCTTAGCCTTTGCTCGCTCAGCGGCACGGTGGACGGGCAAGTCACTCTCCGTCCTTTTCCTTCTCGAAGGAATTCACATTGTCTACTGAGAAAATAGCGGAGAGCGATGATGAGAACACCGAGCGGGGAAACTGGTCGAGCAAAACGGATTACCTGCTCTCGATGGTCGGCTATGCGGTCGGCCTGGGCAACGTGTGGCGATTCCCCTACCTGACCTATCAGAACGGCGGAGGTAGGAGCTCTCCTTTCGCTTGGCTTCCAGTTTCAGCAGCAAGGGGCTCTTCCCAGGAGAAGGGGGAGAACTTAGTGTGCAGCAGTGCAGTGTTAAACTTGCCAGTGTCATCACAGATGTGAGCAAAGGGCCGCTCATCTGGTCACCTGGGGCGAGTCGAAACTCCCTTTAGGTGACCCTCCAGTGAAGAGGTACAAAGGGTGTTTCTTCCCCTGCCTCACCTGTCCCTTATGACACCAAGGGTTAATCCAAGCAGGCTGCTATTAATCTGAGAGAGATCTGAACTTCTTGAGTTTCTTGGCATGCATTTGCCTTTTTGTTCTGTATGATTTCTTTTCTGTTTGATGGGAGGAAGCCGAAGAGAACTGCCTCCCTCTTTCAGCATCCATCTTGCTGGTCATCTGCAGCCCCAAGGCCGTTGCCTGCACGAGAGGGGAGCACGTTGCGGGACGTGGCACAGCAGTTCCCAGGATACCCCACGTCAGATTTCCTCCCATTGGGGTGCTTCTGAATGAGGCGTTCATCTTGCTGTCGCCTGCTCACTTGCAGAGTTTTGTGGCTCTGGGCTCCCACCGCAGATTCCCACAGGTTCTTCTGTCCTTTTCCCCAGCACAGGGAAGCAACTTAGAAGAAAGGAGTAACCGCGGCTCTTTGAGGGCTGGTGCCGAGAGCCTCTGCCCGGACACACAGCCCTCCTTGGGCCATTCCCTTTCCCCTCTGACGCCTTCCTTGCCCGTGAATCGCAGGGAGCGGCCTGCTGAGCAGAGCAATCCCCCCCCACCGCTGGGCCCTCCAGGGCCTTTGGCCCTGAGCTCCCAGCTTTCCTGTCCATTGGCCTGCTGGAAGTTGCCCCAAAGGACCCACTCGATCGGGTCGCAGGAGGACGGGGACGGTGCCGAGCACAAGATCGCGACAGGCTGCGCTGCTTCGCCCCCCTGGGCGAGACGAGGGCCACGCACGGTTGCACCCGGCTTGGGGGCCGAGGGCACTGGGGTTGCCCGGCGGACGTTTGCTCTGATGCAGTAGGGCAGGTCTGGCACCCCACGGGGACTTTTCGGCAGTGGCACCCTCTGCTTCCTTCAGGAGGGGTGTGCCCCTTCCTTGCTGCTCCATGGGGCCAGCCCTACCAGTAGGCAAAGTGATGCTGCTGACTTGGGCAGCAGTTGCGGGAAGCAGCAGGGGGCAGAGATCTGTGCACCTCAAACTCTGCCCTGCAGCCTGGGGCAACCCCAGTTGTGGTGCAAGGTGCTGCTGCTGCTTCTTATCGAGGAAAGATTAAGTTAGATTTGGTTGCTGGTCCAGTTCTGTGTTGCAGATGGGATCTTAATTATCACCCCAGGCAGGGCAATTTGTGGCTTGCGCTGCTGCTGGAGTTCGGGCCGTCATGAGTTCCCTCCCCGAGTCCCAGGGAACACACATTTCCGCTTTGCCACGTCAGAATCCTCCCTTTCTGGCTCTGCCTTGCTGCGGTCTCTTCTTTTACGCAGTATGTCGGTATGCAGTTTGCAGTGTGCTTTGGCCACCATTGTCCGCCCAGAGGACCGCGCCTGTGTGTGCGAAACGCTGCGCAGCAGAGGTGGGCCGGGTGGCCCAGCGTCCTCAGCCCCTTTTCCCACAGCAGAGCTGGCCATTAGTGGCCGTTGCATGATGCCTCTGGTAGTGCAGAAGGGCTGCAGGGGGGAAGCCTGGCGGGCCCGTCCCTCGGCGGCACCCTGCTCTCCACCGCTGGAACTGGCACTCGCCTGCAGCCCCATTCTGGGTCTGGGTTCACCTCCCCACCGGAGAACCACCTCTAAACCTGGAGCAACCAGGCACCAGCTAAAAGTAGGCCGCGCCTTCCGCTGTGCAGAACTGAAGTGCAGGGAAATGTCCAGAAGGCAGCCACGATCCAGGCGCCCCCTTCCCGGTTCGCGCCTGTGCTTTGGATGCTTTCCCGTGTGCCCCGGCGGCCACCGATCCCCCTGTTTTGTTTGCGCCGAGTGGACGGCCAACAGCCCCGCGGCCCGAGCTCCCGGCTTGGGAAGGGGCAGGAGCAGCTGCTCACGTCGGCTCTGCTCTCTTGGCAGGGGCCTTCCTGATACCGTACGCCATTATGCTCGCTCTGGCCGGACTGCCACTCTTCTTTCTGGAATGCTCCCTCGGGCAGTTTGCCAGCTTGGGACCCGTTTCCGTTTGGCGGATCCTGCCCCTTTTACAAGGTGAGCCTTGTTAGCCGCCCTCTTCTGGTTACACCTGGGGGTGGGTGAGCGTGCGCTGGAAAAACGAGCTTCCTGGGAAAGCGTGTCTCTGCCGCGCTCCCAAGGCCTCGGGAACCTGAGCCGAGCCTCTGGCGAGGTGGGCAGGGGCGCTGGAGAGGCCCCTGCACTGACCTCTGCCCAGCACCCTTGCTGGCGCCCATCCTGACATGCCGGCCAGGAAGGCCAGCCGCTGGGGGCTGGAGAAGGGGTGGGTCCGAGGCTTGGCCACCTGGGGAGCCCTGGAGGGCTGCAGTGGGGCCGCAGGGGGTTCACTGCGACCCCTGGGCCTTAGGGGTCCGATCAGGTAGCCGCCTTGTTCTAGAAGCTTGGCGCATCAACGGTTTGGGAGGAGTCTGGGGAAACCGTGTGGGCTACTGAGAGCAGGAAAGCACACGGGGTTTAAACAGGATGGGACCCCACTCCCCCCCACGCACCGTGCCCCGGGGGACTGGCCGGGTCTCAGGAAGCGGGCGCAGCGCCAGAAGGCACCTTCTGCTCCTCTGAGCGCCACCTTCTCTGCTTCCTTCCTCCCAGGTGTGGGAATCACCATGGTGATCATCTCGACGTTCGTGACCATTTATTACAACGTCATCATTGGCTACAGCCTCTACTACCTGTTCGCCTCCTTCCAAAGCGTCCTGCCCTGGTCCTGGTGCGACCCCGCCTGGGCCGACAGCAAGTGCAGCCAGGGGCCAATGGGTAAGGTGACCGCGCGCGGCACAGTCCCTCTGGCCCGGCCAGGGACCCTGCGCAGCGCTTCGTTTCGCCACAGGTGCCCGGAGCCTGGCCGCTCGACGGTGGCCTCGCTGCAGCCGCAGAAAGCGGGCGGGTGGATGGACGAGCGCACGGGGGAATGCGCACCCCAGGAACGGGGCAAAGCTCTTTCCTGCTGCAAAGATCCACATTGCAACGAGCTCTGGTCACACTCCAGGGGGACCCAGCGGCCGAGCCGGGGCGGGGCCTGCAAAGGAAGGGGGTGGAGCTGCGCGGGCAGAAGTGGGCTTGGCTACCCGTGACAGGCAGGGCGCAAACGGGTGTAGCCCATTGCCTGCTTCTCCCGCAGGGAAACGTGTGGCTTGCCTCCGTTCGTCTGCATCTTCCTCCGCCCTGGCAAGCCGGTGCAAATTGCACGTGGCTAAAGGAGCCGTCCTGGGGGACCGTGCGTGGGATTCCGCCAAGATCCTTTTGTGCACTGTTCGACCATTCAGCCGATGCGTCCGCGCATCGTGCGGAAACACCACACAAAAGGGAACTGGGCGCATGGCTACATCCTGTGCTCTTTGAAACCAGTGTTCTGTCGAGCCACAGCCACAGGTGTACATTGCTAAGACGCCACGCCGGAAGCAGCTTCGCAGCCTCGGGCACGATCACGCTGAGGTGGCTGCGTCAAAAAAGGGCCTTTTTCCTCAGTGCCCACATGAATACCAGTAATGTCGAAAATGGTGGGCACAGCAGGGCAGGGAAGGAGCTCGACCTGAAGGAAAGTGTGCTCCTTGACACAAACATTGGAAATAATGCCAGCGAAAGAACAGGAGAATCACAGGATCCTAGAAGAGTAGAGTTGGAAGGGGCCAGGAAGGCCATGGGGCCCCACCCCTGCTCTTGCAGGACACCACGTCACACCATCCCACTCAGAGGGCTGCCCGGTTTCACCTTGACTGTCCCCAGTGTGGGGGAGCCCCCCACCTCTCCAGGCAGCTGGTCTCACTCTCCCATTGCTCTGACCATGAGGAAGCTTTTCCTGATGTCCAGCCTGGATCTGGGTTGTTGCAACTTGACTTGATTGTTCCATGTCCTGCACTCTGCCATCAGCAAGAAGAGATCTTGACCCTCCTCTTTGTGACAGCCTTTGAGGTGCTTATAGAGGGATCTCATGTGTCCCCCCCTCCCCCCAGTCTTCTCTTCTCGAGGCCGAACATGTCCTGTTCTCCCAGTCTCTCCTCACAGGGCAGAGTTTCCAAACCTGGATCCTTTTTGTTGCCCTCCGCTGGATCCTTCTATTTTTCTGTGTCTTTCCTCAGTCTTGGTGCCCAGGACTGGACACGGGATTCCAGATGGAGTCTGACCAGTGCTGAGCAGAGGGAGCTGCCACTCTCGCGATTTGGAAGTGATGCTTCTGTTAATGCACCCCAAAATAGCATTTGCCTTTTTTGTGACTGCATCACGTTGTGGGCTCGTATCCAGCCTGTTGTCCAGTTCAACTCTGGGGGTGCCCAACCCTACGGTGGGGCTCCCCACAGCCACCTGCTGGTGGTCCTGCAAGCAGCACGCTGGCTCCTGCTCCATTTCGGGGGCCCTTCCCAGGTGCTTCAGGACATTCACAATCCCCAGATCCATGGAGAAATTAAGTCAAGGTGGTTTTGGGGATCATCTGCCTGCCTACATTTCCTCCCAGATCAGGAGACCATGAGAGGTGCAGGCCCTTTGCCTGCAGTGGCCTTCCCCAACCCGGTGCCCCCCAGGTGTGCTGGCCACCAGTTGGGACTGGCTGACACAGATGCACGCACGTCTGTGCACAGCTTTTCTGCCATCCTTACACTCATTTTGCCAGGAATAAATAAATGATCATGGGCTGAAATCACAGTGGTGGAAAAGAATTTAAAAAACAGAGAACAACTCCTCCTTTTCTTTCAGGGCACTGCAATGTAACTTTGACAAATGCGAGCACTATTTCTGTGAATTACACGTGGGTCCAGAGCGAGAACCTCACCTGCATCAGCGGCTCTTTGGTGCTTACGGACACCCAGGTGCCGAGCGAACAGTACTGGAAGTGAGTAGCTGGTCCATCGCGCGGCACGCGGCAAAGGCCTGGCCGCTTCGCGAGGGCCACAGCAGCTGCGCAGAGGTGGGCGCACGCCGTGTGTGGAGGGGCTCGGTCCAAGCCCTGTGATCTCCAGGGAGTCCCAGGAAAGGGGGCTCCCACCTGCAATCCCAAGGCGCCGCTGCCGGTCAGAGCTGCAAAACTGGGCGAGGCGGACCAAGGATCTGCCTGAAGACAATCAGCTTCCTAGCGCCCCGAGAACGGCGGTGGCCTGTGGCTGGAAGCGACGAGCGGCCGGCGTCTCCTCCAGCAGACCCCCAAGGGCGACGGCGGTGATGCGAGGGGCTGGGGAGTGGCGGCCTGCGGCCCCATCGGGAGGGAGGCCCCCTTGGGTTGGCGGGGCTCGCCCCGGGTGCGGGGCTGCAGTGCCAGCTCCTTGCGGGTTTTGAGGGCCTTTGCCATGGACCCTCCTCCCGCTCCTCACTCTCTCGTCTGCCTGCCAGGCAAGGAGCTGGGGAGCGGCGGGGGGGGGGGGGATGTAATGGGGGAGAGGAGGAGTGGCCCCCAGGGGCTCTGGCTGGTGGATGCCGCCAGGACGAGGCCCCCCCACCCGGGAAATCCACAACAGACTTACATTAGTTGGCCTGATGCAAGGACGTGGCCTGTGGATTCCAGCTCTTCCTGAGTTGTGTGAACCCTGCAGACCTGCAGGCTGTTCTTTAGCAAACTCCATCCCGGAGCAGACCCAATAAGTGCCTTCCCCGCATTGGCTCGGCTCATTTTTCCGGGATCTGCCTTTGGGATGGGGGCTTTGCAGATTTTCCAGCGTGCACATTTCACGACTCCAGATTAGCACAATCTCTTTGGCGCGATCGGGACAAAAACCACAGAACAAAAAGGCACCTGGCGAGCCACAAACGGGGAGGACGCTTCGAGGCATCCGTGCATCCCTGCCCTGGACTCGTGCCTGCACGTTCCCTGGCTCTGTTGCCTCACCCAGACAGCCTCGCTGGGCAGGTGCCTTTTAATACCTGAACGTCCATAATTTGCCATGGTGTGGATGGCCCCATTCCTCTGCCGCGCATGAGTCAGTGCCGGCTGTGGTGCCTTTGCCTGGTGATGCATGATGGGTGTGCGCCACTGAGCTCGCTGCTCGCCTGGTGTGCGCACGTGCCCAGACACGCCCGCCCGGGAGAGGGACCTGGATGCTCCTGAACTTCCAGGACTGGGGCCCGGGCCCACACGGCCAGGGATGGAGGGGACGTTTGGCAGAACCAGGAGCACCGTCCCAAAACCCGCAGGGAGGGGCTGTGCCTGGGGTGGGACGAGACCCTGGCCAGCTGGATAAGTGTCCACCTTCTTGACAGATGGAGGACAGAATGAGGCTTATGGGCAGGCAGTAGCCAGGTAGCACCCGCAAAGTGTAAGTTGCTCTGATTACGTCTCTCTGGATAGGTGTGTGTCCATATGTGCGTGCATTTGTATATGTACGTGTGTGCACACACAAGTCTGTGATATGGATGACACGTATCTGGATATTTGGTCTGCCCTTCTTAAAGCTTAGGTATAACTGCTTTTACTGGTTGCTGTAATTTTATATGTAGACGCAGGTGATACGCTTTTCAGATGTGTCTGCTACAAGTGATTTATTCACATGTGTATGAGAAAATTGTATTTCTGCCTCTCTTTTGTTGAAATTTGCAATAGAAAAATACTTTTTTTAAAGAAGCCTCATTGTTCATTCGGGTTAGGGTTCAGGTACAGAAACCCTGTAATCTGTTTCAGCAAAGCTCCCAGCACTCAAAACTGGCCCCGGTGGAAGAAATATCCCATGGTAGGAAAGACACAGGCCGAGTCCACGCAACGCGGGAAGCCACGGGGGCCTGCCTGTGGCTGGAGCCCGGCCAGGATGGTTCGCAGGCGGTGCCGCTGCTCCCGGGCGCGGGGACAGGCATGCCCCAGTGTAAAAGCCGCGGTGGTTTATCGTGTGTGCGCTGGGGGCCCGAGTCGTGTCCTCCTGATCACGTGTTGCAGAAGATTAAGAGTGCCGCTGGTTCTGCTGAGAGCAACACCTCTCCTGATGCTGCCTGATCTTCTTCTTCCAGCAAAAAGGTCCTCCAGCGATCGGGAGGGCTGAACGAGACCGGAGAGGTCGTGTGGTACTTGGCCCTCTGCCTTCTCCTCTCCTGGCTGATCGTCGCAGTCGCCTTGTTCAAAGGGATCAAGTCTTCAGGGAAGGTGAACTCAGGGAACCAGCGAGGGTCGGTCGCTGCACATCCTTTCCCTGAGACGCAGGAGAGCAGCTTGCACATGGCCAAGAAGGGGATGAAAGAGAGAGATCTCTTTGCACAAAGGCCAAATTGCACCGCTAAATTGGAAAGAGCAGCCGCTTTTTAAACTGGTGGTGGAAGGGGCTGCTGTTGATTGGCCCCTTCAAAGCCCCCCTGCACGTTTTGCCATTACGGCCTTTAAAGCAGACTCAGACTGGCATCCTAGCGAGGAGAGGCTGTCCTCAAACAAAGACCAGCTCTGGAAACAGAGGCCTGTCCTTTCTGAAGGAGGACCCTTGGCCACCCTCGGACCGCCAGTCCATCAGCCCATACTTCCCCCTCATCCAGCCACAACTGCCCCTTATTCCAGTGAGAGTTCATTTCCTTCCTCACCTGCGGAAGAGAAGGGCTTTTGGGAGAGCTTCCACGAGGAAAGAGAGGGAGCTCCAGGGCCCCAGAAGGCGGAGGGCCGCTGCAGGGGCACCTGTCACCGGATGCTGGTGAAGGACAGGCGGGCAGCCGCCTTCCCCATTCAGCCTCCTGGAAGCAAGGCAAAGTGACTCCCCTGAAACGGGCATTCAGCTCAATGGCGCTGGCCCATTTTGGTGTGCCATTCCAATAGTCCCGCACTGAGCTCCCAGAGCAACTCTGGGGCAGATATAAATCAGGAAGGGATGTGTCATCTGTGCGCATCTCCTGCAGGCAAAGCCAAGCAAGGTGCTGCCTTTGGTTGCTGAGGATTATTGTCCCGAGGAGTGCCCCCCCCCTCCACCCACCCACCGAGACCAGGAAGTCATAATGACAGCGGGCCAAAAGATCTGCTTCTCAGAGTTGGCAGCTCAGTGAGAATTCCGGGAGGGACCTGGGCTTTGTAGTACAGCGCTCGCTCTTTCTGTCCGCGTAGTCTTGGGTCGCATCTTTGGCATCTCCACCTGAAGGGTTCAGGAGGAAAGAGATGCGAAGGAATTTGGTCTGAGACCGGCAGTCAGAATAGGTTGCATGGGTGCGGTGGATGAAATAGCCGTGGAGAAAGGTTCTGGGAGGCCACCTGGAGAGAGTTCACACTGGACTGGGAGAGGCAGGGTGCTGCAGCCTCCAAGTCTGAGTCCGTTCGCTCCTTCCTGTTCCTCCCCCGTCCCTCCTCTCACACTGATGTGCTTTCTCCACCAGGTTGTCTACTTCACAGCCATCTTCCCCTATGTCGTCCTGATTATCTTGTTGATACGCGGAGCCACCCTGGAAGGCGCTCGAGAGGGCATTGAGTACTACATTGGGAGCCAGTCCAACTTCACCAAGCTTACAGAAGCAGAGGTGAGCGCCTCCCTGTTTCCATCAGTGAAAGGTGGGAGTGATCTTCCCCAACCCGGTTTGGATGGCCGCTCCCAGCACCCCCAGCCACAATGGGAGATGGACTCCTGCACCCGTGGTGGGCAGCAGCTCAGGCTGGCTCCGAGTGAGCAGCGCTTCCAGGGTGCTGTGTGCGTCGCAGACCCCCTGGGTGGAGGGAAGCTCTTGCCGCTGGGACTCAGTGGGTTGGCGCTGGATGCATCCTGGGGCCCGTGGCTGGCCCAGCCCAGTGAGCCCAGTGGCTAGGCCTGTCCAAGCCCCAGAGCCCCCCTCCATGGAATACTCCTGGCAGTTGTGCGGAGCATCTGGATTGGCCCAGCCTGACTTAAGGAAAGGGGCTGCCTGGCCTCCTGCCCGTTGACGAGCTCAGCAGAGCGACGCTTCCAGCAGGGGGGACTCCGGCGGTTCCTACTGGGGCAGGCAGTGAGTTGCGGCTGCCTCCATCCAGGCTCCAGTTCAGCGGGACACTACTGGCTTGTGCTGAGAGTTGCTGGCCAGCCTGTGCTGGGTGCTTTGACTGATGGAGAAAAGCAAGGCTTCCATCTTAGTTTCCTCCACCCAAAGTATTCATCTTTGTGCCGGTGTTAATGCTCACTCTCTCACACACCCGCCTCAAATGATCTAAGCCAGGACCTGAACTGCCTCTCTGTCTTTGCCCAGGTCTGGAAGGACGCGGCGACACAAATTTTCTTCTCCCTCTCTGTTGCGTGGGGTGGGTTGGTCGCCCTCTCCTCGTACAATAAATTCCACAACAATTGCTACTCCGACGCCATCTTTGTTTGCGTGACCAACTGCCTCACCAGCGTCTTTGCCGGCTTTGCCATCTTCTCCATCTTGGGACACATGGCCTTCAAGGCAAACAAGAAGGTCTCGGAGGTCGTTGATTCAGGTGGGTTGGACAAGCTTCCACGGACATGGCTTTGACCGATCGTGGGCCTACGCAGGCTGAAGAAGCGTGTTGCCCCTGAAGTGTGTTTGGAGTGGACCCAGTAGAGGATGGTGGGAGAAAGTAGACAAGGATGTGTGTTTTTCTCCCAACAAAGCTAAATGGTGTGAGATGCCGAGCAGATCAAAGGAAGGGCTTCTTCCCACTGTGCATAGTCTAGGGTTGGAGGCCATCTTGAACGACTTTAAAGAGGGACTGGGCAACCTCGTGAAGGAGAAGCCCTCCGTGGCTGCCTGTTCCCATTGTTTAGGGAGGGACTGACTGGGTGCTAGTGGGCTTTCAGAATGCAACTAATGGCCGCTGTGGGGACAGAACATTGGACTGGCCTGGACCTTGCTCTGATTCTGTGCAGCTCCTCAGAGAGTCTAATGTTCTCAAGAAGAAGCCTTCAGACACGTAATCTTCAAATGCCGGTCGTGAGGGCGGTTTATTGCCTCCATCCTCGCTTCCTTGAACTCCTTCGGAGAGTGGGGAAAACTGGACACGCTGGGCTGCGTGGCTCTTGCTCTGCTCCAGGAAGGCCCTTGCTGGGCACTCGGAGCTTGGTGGGCACCTACAGTGTGGGCTGTGGACGCGAGTGTCGAGGTGCAGCTGGCGCTGCCTCCGTGATGCCTTGGCCATCCCTGCCCAGCAGCCGAATGTCCATCTGCAATGCCGCCTTTGCTTCGGCTCCATTTCAGGTTTCGACTTGGCGTTTGTTGCCTATCCAGAGGCTCTTTCCAAGCTGCCCGTGGCTCCACTCTGGTCCTTTTTGTTCTTCTTCATGCTTCTGCTCTTGGGACTGGATTCACAATTTGCTACCATAGGTAAGTGGTGGGCAAAGCCGTCTTCACCTGAAGCTCCGAGTCGGCCGGTTGTGGCGCGTGCTCATAGCCGCACAACTGAGCTTGTCACGGAGGGGCAGGTGTGCAGTCCAATGGCTTGTTTAGTTGGGGCTGAAATGTACAAAAGATCAACTGGTTAAATGGACGCTGAAGTGGGTTCGCCTTCCCCCTTTCCCCACCGACCTTCCGCCAGAAGTTTCAGCCTGCCTGTCGAGGGGGCAGGGCCAAGGCCTCGCAGAGCCAGCGCTCTGCACTGAGGGCCTTTTCTGCTGCTAGAGGCGCCCCTGCCTTGAGAGCAAAACATTTAGCAGTTCGCTCACTCCAGTTTTGCATGCTCATTTCGGTCTGCTGCTGCCGGCTGCCTTGAGCTGCCCCCTTTGAAAGAACAGGCAGGACACACACGTTGGAAACGAAGTGCTGCGCCAGCTCCTCATGCCCCTTTGTCCTCCAGAGACCATCACGACCACCATCCAAGATATCTACCCCAAGGTGATGAAGAAAATGCGGGTCGTCGTGACACTGGTGCTGTGCATGGTGCTGTTCCTTCTGGGGCTTGTGTGCGTCACCCAGGTAGGTTTTTTAGGGCTGGGAGAACAGGGATCTTTGGGCTCCCCTAAATTCCCCCAAAACCATTCTGGCTCCAACCCACTTTTGCTCGCTTGAATGGGAAAAGTGCCGCCTTTGAATGGAGAAAATAGCCGTTCCCGCGCACATTTCGCCGAGTGCGTGCTTTCCCCGCCACTGACCAAGGCATGGAAAAGTGCCACGTGTGACGCCAGGGGCGCCCTTTTCGAGTTTGACTGATATGAAAACAGTCCTCCAGCAGTCGTGCTCCTGCTCGCATTCGCGTCCGGACCGGGGAAGGGGGAGGTCAGTGTGATTTGCGAGCGGAGAACCCCGTGCTTCCCCTCGGCCTGCAAGAAAGCGAGCCGTGCTGCAAGGCAGGCGATGCTGAGAGAGACCCCTGGAGGGACCCCGCGAGCGCTGGGAGGAATGACCTCACCCCTGTCCCCGCTCTTCCTGCAGGCTGGGATTTACTGGGTCAACCTGGTGGACCATTTCTGTGCTGGCTGGGGAATCCTTTTTGCTGCTGTCCTTGAGCTGGCCGGAGTCTGCTGGATTTACGGTAAATCTGTGCTCGGAGACACCCCCTCAACGCCTCCAGTGCCCCCACCTTCAGCACAGCAGTGACAACCAGCGTTTTAGGAATCCTTAAACTAAATCTAAATTCTTGCTGCCAATTGCTCAAATCAACTGTTTCTTGAGGTCCATAACCAGACAGAAAATGCCATGTGTGATATATATCGGGATTGGATCCAGACTCAGGCATACTTTGAGTAGACCCATTGGGATCAGCCGGACTTGGGGTTAAGTAACAGAAGTCCTATTGATTTCAGTGAGCTTGATTACATCTGGATCTGAGCCCAAATATTGATCACACCTGTTGTCTTTTGCATCTGGTCACGGACCATGAAAGCAGTTTTTATTCAATAATCCTCTGCTGTAGCTGAGTGTGGAGCTTCACTGTTTCAGGAAAAGGTCTTTGCAACCTTCTCACAGAAAGGGACAGCTATTGCTGTTTGGCTGCATGATTATGGGATTGCATTCCCATGCTGCCTGCAGCTGAGAAAACAGGATTCCCCTGTCTCCCAGCTCTGATGCAGGGAAGGAACGGCGGCCGCAGAGAAGGGGGAGCGGCTGGGAGCCAGGTCCCCGGCAAACACTGCCATCACCTTCGCTGCCAGGCCAAGGGGCCTCAGCCGGGCGGCAGAATCTGGCCCCCGAACGGAGCTGTGGGGCAGGAGGAGGCATGTGCAGGCAGAGATTACCTCTGCACCCCCCCACCCTGCCTAGGGTGCTTACCCCCTCCGTGTGCCAAGGCACCCCCACTGGGTGGCCCTGGAAATAAACTTGGCACCCATTGTTCTGATGTGCCAAGGGTGCGGCCCCGCCTGGTGTGTCTGGGAAATGGGCACCCCTCCTGTTGCGAACCTCGGCGGGTGAATGCAATTAGGGAACCCACCTGCAGCATGAGGGGGGGCTCCATGGCAAACCGTGGGCACCCCAGCGTCAACCTGGGGGGCGTCTACAATTTGCAAAGCGTCCAGCCGCAAGCACTGGGGCCGCTGCTTGAGATGTGGAAGAGCTGCTGCCGGCCAGAGCTGAGCACACTGGGCCAGAGGGTCCAAAGCAGCTGCTTGCCCCTTGTCTCCCACTCAATGTCCACGGTGCGTCTCCGCCCCCGGTCTGCTGCAGCACCGCCTCTGTGCCAGCGAAGCCTCAGGCCTTCGGAGCCGAAGCCGCTCTGTTCCCTACAGAGACTCTGCCCACAGCAGGGCGTCTGCATCTCCAGCCATGCACTGGCACGGAGCTAACTCTGCGGGATGTGGCTGCTTTGCACAGGGGGAAACCGGTTCATCCAAGACATAGAAATGATGATCGGGAAGAAAAGCTTCATCTTCTGGCTGTGGTGGAGAGCCTGCTGGTTTGTCATCACACCGTGCCTCCTGATTGTAAGTACGAGCAAGAGGTTTGAGTAGTTCCGAGGGAGAAGATTAGAAACACAGAAACAGCGCGAGGCAGAAGGGGCCTCCCGGGCCATCTAGTCTGACCCCCGGCTCCAGCCGGCTCCACTCACGACGTGCCCACCATGTGCACGTCCAGCCCATCCTTGAACCGATGGGGCCTCACCCACCTCCCGTGGAAGCCCATTCCACACCCTCAGGCTCCTGACTGTCAGGAAGTGCTTCCTGGTATCTAAATGGAACCTCAGTTCCCTGAGCTTGGCTCCGTTGGAGCGCGTCCTGCCTTCCTCTGCAGGGGAGAACAGGTCTCTACCCATCTCCATGTGACACCCCCTCACATACCTGCATGTCACCAACTGATCCCCTCTGAGTCTCCTCTTCTCCAGGCTGAAGAGGCCCAGTTCCCTCAGTCTCGCCTCATACGGCATCCCCTGCAAACCGGCCACCAACCTTGTGGCCCTGCGCTGCACTGACTCCAACCTGGCTATAGCCTTCCTGTAACGAGGGGCCCAAAACTGAGCACAATACTCCAGGTGCAGACGCACCAGAGTCGTATAGAGTGGCAGTAACACCTCTCTTGATCTGGAAGCCATGGGCCCAGGGGCTCCCCTTCAATAAAAAAGTCGGGGAGCCTGCTTCTGCACTTCATTTGTAGGCTTCCCACTTGGGCCTCTGATGGGATGCTGGGAGGGGCGGATTTGATGGAGGCACGTTTGGCTGGAGCTTGCCCATGTTTGTGAAGCAGAGGCCCGAGAACTTCTCTCTTGCCCTCTGTGCCATTAAAGGGGAAAACCCTGCTAGGGTAGGGGTAAAAAAATGGATAAAAACAGGGGTATAAAACACCTTAAAAAAGAAGAAAAAGACCAGTGAGGGAGTGAGCATCCTTCATGGCTACCATTCCAGAAGGAGGGTGCTTTGTGGGGCATCATGGAGGAGGGCCTGAGAGGGGGAGGGGGAGCACTTCGTGCTGCAACATTCTGTTGCGGGCCTCCCTGTTGGGGCGCTGCAGCACGAGAGCCCCACGCAGAGGCAGTCTACCTGGGAGGAGCGGGTGCGATTGCCCCAGAGTGCCCTGTGCGCTGCGCTCCTGGCGGCCTGCCTGTGGGTGGGGCGTGGCGTAGCGCCTTCCCCACCAGCTCTGTTTGCACACCCGTCCCTCCCTCCCTCCTCCATGTCCCCACGCCGCCGTTTCCGCACCCGTGCCTGAGCCGGTGGTGACATTCCTCCCCATCCGAGGACCCTGCAGCTCCTCGGAGCGGTTCTTGGCAGCCCTGCGGGAGACCGTGAGCATCAATGCTGGGCTGGGCCGGAATGCGCCACCGGGGAACAGAACATTCTGCCCTTGGCACCTTCTCCGTGTCGGCCAGGCCCGGGAGGTCCGGAGTGTCTTTCGCAACGTGCCAACAGCACAGGTAGCACTTGCAGATATGCCCTGCTGAATGCCAGGATCCCTGGCGCTCCTGCGGGCTCAGCTCACCGGCTGGCACGTTTGGAGGGTGCAAGGCCAGCCTCCTGCCCGGCCTGATCTAATAAGGAAACAGGGAAAGAGCACTCCAGGTCTCGCCATCTAGTTTCAGGAGAGCGCAGGCCTGAGGTGGCTGCTGGGTGTTCCCCACTCCGGGTGCAAAGCCCCCGGTTTCCTTCCCCGAGATGCGACGGCGTGCTCTGCAGGTGCGGGCCGCCTGTGCAATATTCACCTCCCGCAGTGCAGGCAGGCGGTCTGCTCCTTCCCCTCCAGGCCGGCCCCTGCGACACCCATGCCGGGCCCCAAGAGCACACGCCGCTGCAAAAGCTTCCCGCAGGGGCTGCGTTTGCCCTGCGATGCTTGGGAAGGCGCTGCCTCCTCTTCCTCTTCGAATTCCGCCTGCCTGTTCTGCTTCCAAGCAGTTTTCTTTGCCCTTCCCTTCTCTCTGAAAAGCGGGTGTGTTGTCACACGGCAGCTTGCATCGTGCCTTCCTGACGAAGAATTCCCACAGCCTCCCTTTACATGGCCGGCTTGCCTTTTTGTGGTGCTGTTTCCAAAGGAAGCCCGTGGAGGTGACCCAATCCCTGCCACGTCCATGGTCTTCCCGAAGCACATCCTGAGCTTTCGAAGCACATGACTTTGCAGCAAGCTTCCAATGTGCAGAAACACAGAAAGATCACAAGGGGTCTCCCAGGTCATCTAGTCTGACCCCCAGCTCCAGCCGGCTCCGCTCACGTAATAGCCAGAAATGGCAGGGTAGTCCAGAGGGTCAGGAGAGATTTCTGGGTGGGAGGAAGGCTCCAGCGATCTGGTGCAGCCGTTGGGAATTCTGGGCCAGAGCATGTCTGCCTCGGGTCCACTCAGCCCCGCTCTCAGCAGGCCAGGAGGGTTCTGCCCCGCCGGGATGTTGGCTCTCACGTCTTTCTTCCCCGTCTCTCTCCACCCGCAAACAGGCCATCTTGGTTTGGTCTCTGGTGACATTCGAGCCCCCGACATACGGCATGGTGAAGTACCCTGCCTGGGGCTCCGTGGTTGGCTGGTGCATGATCATGTTCTGCCTGGTCTGGATCCCCGTCGTTGCGGTCTACAAGATAGCCAAGGCCGAAGGGAGCCTGTGGCAGGTGAGTCTGCCGGAGCTGCGAGGGCTCAACCGGCCCAGCAAGACCCGAGCGGCCAGGGCTCAGCGGCGGAGCTCCGCTTTGCGGGTGGAAGCGCCCGGCTTTGCGCCACAGCCTCCCCAGATGGGGCTGGAAGGAGACCCACGGATCTGTGGGAAGCCCCTCTTGGCTGGGCCGGATAGAACCAGGGCTTGCCCCGGTCTAAGGAACCATCTGGAACTCCTCTCCCGTCGTACTTCCGAGAGAAGCACTGTGCTAGGCCGTCTAAGCCCCCAGACAGACCCCTTAAGCCCAGCTCGGAAGCGATCTCACTCGCCCCTGAGCCTGGAGGCCGCTCTCTCAGCCGACCCCTCCCCTCCCCTCCCCTCCCCTCCCGGGGCCCTCGTGGCCAGCAGCCCCTGGCAGGCGCCGCTCTGTGGCTGGCGCCTCACTGTGCGCTCGGTGTCCCCGTTGCAGAGGATCATCACCTGCTGCAGGCCGCAGCACAACTGGGGACCTGCGCTGGAGCGCCACCGTGGGGAACGGTACAGGCACATGGTGGACCCCGACAAGGAGCGCGACCTTGAGATCCCGACGGTGGACGGCTACACACGCCGGCTGGACTAGCAGGCACATCGGCCCGAGAGCTGCGCCTCGAGACCCGCAGAGACGAGAGCGGAGCCACTGTGCAAGCTGCGATTGTTATTCTGGGAACTTGTGTAATGGATTGCAGAGCGATGGCTGTCACGTCAACAGAGCTTGGAGCTGGTTCTTCGGCAGAAATTCATGGCGATCCAGCGACCCGCCTGGCTGCACGTGGCAAGGTGGGGGCCCCGCTCCTCTCCCCTCCCTTGGACGGTGCTAAAACCAGGCCTGTGCCGGGTAGGGCTGGCACAGGCTTCAGAACCTGGCCTTCCGGGCGAGCCCCAGGCGGGCTCCAGCACTGGCCCTCCCTTGGCCAGCCAAGGAGCTCCCACGGCGATGTGGAAGTCGCAGCCTGCCAGAGCGGCAACCTTCTTCGTGGAAAATGACGGGGCAGGCCGCCGTCCCTCCCTTGCAGGAGGGTTGTCGCAATGTGCGCTGCTTCGGCAACACAGTGACGCTCGCCCAGGATCGCGCCCGTGCCTGAAGCCATGATCCTGCGCAGGCATGCTGAGAAGGCAGCACCTCCGACCTCGCTGGGACGTCCTCTCAGTTGACATGTCTAGGAAAGCTTCAGCATCCAGCCATTTCTTTTGTTTAGCATAATTTATTATTTTTAATTATACCTTGGCATAATTTATTTAGTTCTGCTTTCATGGGGGTGGGAAGGTAATGAGGCAAAGCACCAAAACACCCCCAAACAGAAATCCTGGCCATCAGCCCATTGGGCTAGCGAGGCTTCAGGAGACGCTGTTCACACACCTGCAAGCATATCTTTACGGTCACAGGGACTAGCCACCTGGAAGATTTGCTCTTACATGGGAGCCTGTGCCCGGCTTGTAGCCCTGGCTGTCCTCAGAAGGTGGCAAGTGGCTGGCTGGCCAGCCAAGCAGCGGACGGTTGCCCGACTTCAGCTTCAGGGGCGCCCCGTGCTTGTGTGACCTGACCCTCCCGCGAGGCACCCCTTCCTTCCCCTGCAGGGCCCTTGCAAACAGTCTCCTCCCAGCTTCCTGCTGGAGGGCGCATGTGTGCTAGAAGCATTCCCTCTGGCTTGGCAGGGCAGGACCCATCATACCCTTTGGCCACACTGGCTGGGGATGATGGGACTTGCAGTCTGCCTCCTCTGCAGGCCACCAGGCTGGGGGGAGGTCTGCCCATTCCAGGATGTCCCATCATACGGGTGGCCACATCCTGGAAGCGGCCTCTCTCAAACGGACACTTGGGTTGCGGGACACCGGGAAGAGGGGCCCGCCAGCTGGGGCCTTTGCCCGGGAGCAGCCCGCTCAGCCGCACCCCGTGACCCTGCGGCTGGGCCTCCTCGCGCAGCCGATGGCCAGGACGGCACCACCCGGGCCTCTTGCGGAGGATCTTGGCTGTGGCAGGCATGCCGAGCCCTGCTTTGCCCACGTGCCTTTTCATACCGAGAATTTTCGTCTGCCTGTTTGTAAAATAAAAGCCCTGGCACCTTTGATCAATAAAATGACGTGTTTTTACTTGGAGGGTGTCGTGCTGAAAGCTTGGACTGGACTGAACCGAAGGGACCGCTTCCCACGCACTTGGTGATGCGGCTCCAGACCCATGGCTGTTTCGAGCCACAGCCTTCGGCGGCCAGTCCTTTCAGGTGCAACTTACATCCAGCAAGGATGTTGCACGACCAGCATCATTGGGCTTGCGTGGTTCCAGCCCTGTCGGGCAGCCTGCCTGCCGGTCCTGGCTCTGCTGGGCTCCTTTGTCCCCTGCCAAGCTAGCTGCACCCCAAGGCATAACCACCACGAGACGCCTAGCCGTGGGAAGAGGGCGGCTCAGTCACCTCCCTTCCCTGGCCGACTGTTCAGCCCAGGAAGCCCGGCTGGACAGGAGGGGAAGGGCAGCGCTCGGAGTGTCTTTGCTGACCCCTCGCTCTGCCTTCCCCCCAAGGCTCATTCGAGGTCTCCAGACCAGTCCACCAGCCCCTGCTCAATTAACCTATAGGCTAACCCGCCCCTCCATCGAGGCATCATACCCCAGGGCGACTCTCCGGCTGCTTGGGTGGCCTGCTGTGCCTCAGCCCACCAAGCCTGGGCTCCATCCAGGCCTCCGGACGGTCACAGGACTCTGGGAGTGGTCAACCCGAATCCTGGCCTGGGGCAGGACTAGAATCCCTCTCCACACTGACCGAAGGCCCACGTTGCCGGCTGCTTCCTCTGTCTACCCACCTGAAGCTGAACCCCACACAAGCCACCCCGAGGACGGCCGAAGGGAACCTTGGGGGCGTGCTCCCACTCATGCTGCCCATTTGAGGCTGCTTCTAGCCCCCTGCAGTGGTTAGGACCAAGGCTTTCCTAATCCTGAGCCTAGCCTGAGGCTTAACCCCAACGGAGAGGCAATCCTCCTCTCCCCCCAGTGGGATGCCAAAGGCAGCACTCGGGGCTGGCAGGTCGTGCCGCCTGGTTGCCCTGCCTGGGCTAGCTGCAGGGGACCCAGATCTGGGCCCAGCACTCGTAGTCCCAAACAAACGCCTGCAGCCAGCATCCTGCACAACGCACAAGACCCCGAGATGGGCGCACCGCAGGGGAGATGCTTCCCGGAACACGGGCGAGCTGCCTTCTCCAACTGGATGCTATTCAGATGTTTCAGGCTTGCACTCCCATCTGCCCCGGTTAGCACTGCGAATGCCCAAGAATGCGCACAGGTGGTGTGCAAAGCATATGGAGGCAGCCGCGTGGGTATGTCTGGCCGTGGGCTGCGCACTGGTGCTCTTGCCATTAGAGGGCAGCCTCCACCCAGCGCATGCCCAAGCCTTTGCTCTGCTGCAGCTCCTCCTAGCCAGCGCCAAAGAGAACCCTTCCCTTTGGACGGATACCGACAAATTCCCCCCAGATTCACCTCGGGGCTCCTCGCCGCAACTTCCACGCTAACCAGGCCTCTGCGGCCTCGGCAGTCTTCGCACAACCCTCCAGCTGGCTCTGTGCATAGAGCTGGAAGGCTGGGAGAAGGCTTGGGATGGCCCTTGTCCAAGGACAGAGCTGGGAGCAGAGATTTCTTTGCCGGGTCAAATTCGGGATCCAGCCAGAAGACAGCCAACGGCCACCAAGCAGCTCAGGGGTGGGTCAGCCGGGGCAAACTGCTTCTGAATCCGGAAAGGTCTTCCGCTAGTGCAGCTCACCTCTCTGCATCTGTCGCCAAGCCATTCAAAGCCCTCTGAACATGTCAACCCTCAGTCCAGTCTCCAAGGAGGGGGTCTTGGGAGGTCCCTCTCCACACCGGCAACCAGAGATGGGGCATAAGTGGCACGTGATGTGAACGTGCCGGAAGGCCGCATGGCAACAACCCATCAGAAAGGAGACACTTAGCACGGAGATGCTCGCACCTTACAACTGCACCCCACGCCCCCCAAGATGCGCCCCAGCATTGCCCACCCGCAAGACTCACACCCAGAGGAGGAGCGTTTCTGTTAAAGGAGAACTTTTGGCCATGTTTACATGAGCAAATGCATCACTTTCCAGGTACATAACTAATTTAGCATAGACCTGCCCCTGCTGGAAGTGATGCGAGGTACGTTAAACCAAAGGGGCGAATGGGACAATGGCCTCCCCCAAACCCCACCAGGCTGTCTGGGGCAGCCAGGCGGTTGCTCTCTGGGGTGCCTGCCTTCTCCACGGGGCGCAGGTTCAGACGTGCCGCACTGCAGTCATATCTGCCTGCTTTCCTCTTGTGAGGAATCCAAGGCGGCTTACACAATCCTTTCCCACTCTGTCTTACCCGCAAAGCAGGCCTGTGGGGTGGGTTCCACAGAGAGTGACTGGCCCAGAAGCACCCAGTGAGCCCCACGGCTGAGTGGGGCCTGGGACCCGGATTGGCCAGGTCCCCAGTCCAACAGGCTTCCCACGACCCGCTCCCTGGATCCACCACCGGCTTCTTCACTCCAGGTGCTCACCCCCACCCTGTGCTGGTACCCAGCTCATGCTCCACCACACTAACCTGTCTGGGAAATAATCAAGGGCAGCCCCCCAAAGCAGCCTGCTCCCCCTCCCCCCCATGTTGTTCAGCACAGGGAGCTGGACAGAGTCAAGAAAGCCGCTCAAGCAATTCCATTGTCTTCTCACAGCAGATGCAAACACACACTTCCCCAGTGGCGCAAGACCAACAGTAATAATAAAACACCCCACGTGAGCGGGGACACACCTCACACTAAGCACAATGTGCCCAGCAGCGGGTGTCCAGGGCAGCTCCTCTCCTCTCCTCTCCTCTCCTCTCCTCTCCTCTCCCGTCTATGCTTGCAAGCCCTTTGCAACTTGCTCTGGCATTTCCCCCTCCCCACCCTTCCGCAGAGATCGCAAACAGCACCTTTGCAAAGGCGCAACCTGCTTTGCTGCCCCCACCTTCCTACAGCAAGAGCACCAAAATATCGGCATGAAAAAGAAGATCCCGTCAGCGGCAGATTTCATGGCAAAGGAGGCTGCTGTTTGAGATGCAAAAGGCCGCCTTCTCCCTCTCTTTCGCTCGTGTTTGTTTGGGGATAAAACAAGAGAGTCTTTATGCACCACAGGCTGCGTTATCTTCTGAAGTGAGAAACTTGGCCTCTGCCTGTCTCTGTGTATTCTAGCCACCCAGGTTCAATGGGAGCTTAGCATCAACTTCAGTTGAATCTCTGATGTATCTGCCTGGAAACCTTGGGCCCTTTCAGTCAAGTTTGCTTTGACTTTGATTAAAATGCAGACTAATAGATGTCTACAAAGCTAACCTTTCACTTCAAAATGTTCAATTAGTTTGATTCCAAACAAGCGGCTCATATTAATGAAGAGTAGAAGCTTCTGTTAGCCTGGCAAGTCACTGATGTGTTTAGGGCTCTCCACCGGCGTGCATGCCAAGCAGAACGGGCACCCAGAGTGGAGAATTCTTACTCAGAACCCAGCTCGGGATATGGGTTACTCAAAACCCATATCCTGAGATCACTCTGGATCAGTCATGGGATTGGGGAGGGCGACACTCCGCATTTTCTCAGA